TTTATATTTGAAATTAATTTTAAAAAATTGATTTGAGAGAGAGGTAGACATTGGTTTGTTGCTCCACCTCTTCATTAACTCAATGGTTTCTTGCTTCTTGTGTGTGCCCTGACCAGAGATGGAGCCCGAAACCTTGGCATATCAGGACGATGCTCTGACCAAGTTATCCAGCCTGGGCCACTGTGCTATTTATAACAACACATTTGGGGGAAAAACCCTCAAAATCCCCAAATAAGAAACTAGTTAAAGTAGGGTGATTTCTAAGCTAGAACAGTACTCAGACATTAGAAATGTATTTGAGTAATTTTAAATATCAAGAGAAAATGCTTGGGTTAACTGATGAAACCAGGGTGTAAAATTGTAACTACAGTGTGATCCCGTGACAGTGTAGGGACCTGGGCCTGGGACCCCAAGGACTCCAGATGGTCAGAAGGAATACTAGGTAAGTTGACCTCCAAGAATGCCACTACCACGCTTGCTTCAGCAGCACATATACTAAACTTGGTATGATATAGATTAGTGTGGCCCTGTGCAATCGTGAAGTGTTCCATATTTAAAAAAAGTCACTACTTCTCCGTTCCCTACTCAGAAACACAGCAGTACTGATTTTCTCTCTGTTCTAACTGCCTGCTTCCTTGCAGATGTTTCAACTACTGATCCACATGAGCACTTGACTAGGATTTTGCTACTTATATGACCTTCTTGAGGTAGTGATGACAATGAGCAACACTGCCATCTTGCCCCCACAGTGCAGGCTCTGAGAGAGTTGCCAAACAACCCAACAGGAGGTAGAAATAACCCCACCTTGACATGGAAAATGCCAATACTTGAACATTTCACAAGCCTTTCTTGTCCCCAGCTCATAAAAGCAGCCGAGCAGGGCCAGCTGCTGAGCCAGTTCAGAAGGATCTTCCTTTCCCCTTTGTGCTCTAGCATAAGCTTAACAAAATCTTTCTAAAAATTTCTCTGGGGTTTCCTCTTTTTAGTTAAAAAACTTTCTGGAATTGATTTTAGAGTGGAAGGGAGAGGGAGAAATATTGATGTGAGAGAGAGACATCAATTGGTTGCCTCCCGCATGCACCCTGACTGGGATAAAATCTGAAACCTGGGCATGTGCCCTGACCAGGAATTGAACTGGTGACCTTTTGGTGTCCAGGACGAAGCTCAACCAACTCAACCAGGATGAGCCACATGTCAGAACCTCTGGGGTTTCCTCTCGATTTTTTTTTTTGTCCCTCACCCGAGGACATTTTTCCATTTTTTGTTCAGATAGAGTGGGAGGGAAAGAGAGAACCATCGACGTGAAAGGGACACATCGAGTGGTTGCCATCTGCACAACCCAGGGGCGGGGACAAACTGCAACTGAGATATGTGCCCTTAGCGGGAACCGAACCCGGGTCTCTCTGGACCACAGGCCGATGCTCTAACCACTGAGCCAAACCGGCCAGAGCTTCAAAACGGCCAGGGCTTTCCTCTCGATTTTTGGGGAACCCAAGAAACCCAATGCTAGAACAATCCCAATTATGTAAAACACACACACACACTCAGATAAAAGATGGCAAAACACATATACTCTTAACTGCTTGTCTCTTAGTAAGATTATGAATTTTTTCCCTTCTACACCTTTTTCTTATTTTCTAAATTTTATGTAATATGTTACTTTAAAAATCAAGGAAAAAAGGTTATTTTGGGGTGTTTAACAGAAATTTCTTGCTAATCATTGAGGAAGCACACTTGTGAATGGTCAGTGTTTGGACACCATTGAATGCATTACTTCATGGGGGAAAAATTGAGAAATTAGCCTGGCTGGTGTGGCTCAATGGATTGAGTGTTATCCCATAGACTGGTTCAATTTCTAGTCAGGGCATGTGCCCAGGTTGCACGCTTGATCCCAAGTGGGGGGCGTGTGGGAGGCAGCCAATTGATGTTTCTCTCTCTCCCATCCTCTCTAAAAATATCAATAAAAAAATATATACATATATATATTTAAATTGAGAAATTAATCTTGTTCAATAACATCTTATTAGTCTGTTGTAAAGACCAACTTTAGGATCAAATTTTATCAGAACTGAGTTATTACAGGTAACATTACATAGATGATCACAACAGAAATATGGGGATCTGTATCCACAACATCGGTTTCTAATGAGTTTATTCTCTACTAATCCTACATGATATCACTATTTAAAAACTTGTAGCTTGACAAGATCAAGAAGAAATCAGAGAATCTCTGTTATTATTCTGGTGCCATGAATGGATTTGAAAACCATACTCAATTCCAAAGAAATGTTCAGAGCCCTTCCTACATCTTCCAGTTCTTTAGCAACATGGAGATTAGCAGTTTGAAGAAAAAAGTAATAATGTCCTGAGGTTAATTATTCAATAAATGTTCATCATGTGGTAACTATTGTAAAGGGTAGAATGTGTATGGGGATAGCTAATTTAGCCCGAGAAGCTTCTCAGAGGAAGTGCCACTGAGCTGGCTTTTGAAGGATCAATAAGGGAGGAGAAAGGGGAAGGAATTCCAGGAAGACAGAACAGTGTATGCAAAGATAGGGAGATACTGCCCTGGCCGGTTTGGCTCTGTGGTTAGAGTGTCGGCCTGCGGACCAGAGAGTCCCAGGTTCGGTTCCCACTAAGGGCATGTACCTGGGTTGCAGTTTGTCCCCAGCCCCAGTTGGGGTTGTGTGGGTGGCAACCACTTGATGTATCTCTCTTACATCAAAGTTTCTCTCTCTTTGTCCCTCTCTCCTTTCCACTCTATCTGAAGATAAATGCAAAAATGTCCTCGGGTGACGATTAAAAAAAAAAAAAGTAGGGAGATATTAAAGAGTGTTAGAAAAGATTTTGACATTGTCTGGCTTTCTCATACTCACTCATATGAGAGGGTATATGTATTTAGCTTCAAGTCTGGGCAATGTGTTGAGAGATATGTGATAACTTAAACTAAGTTTTGTAATAGCTCAAAAATAAAGATATCAAAAGATTACTTTGGGTATTCACTGATAGTTTCCATTATACTAAAATTTCATTATACTCTTATTTCATTGCTAATAAGGTAGTTTATAAACAGAAGGAATACTGCTTAAAATAATGACGGGAAGAGATAAATGGGGAAGAAAGATTATTTCCAGAGATTATTTTGTTTACTTTGAGCATTTTTTGATTTGTAAAAGAAATACATTTGATTGTAGGCTTTTTAGAAAAGTACTTAAATTACTTTTGTATATGTATCTTTGTAATAGCTTTATTGAGATATAATTCAGACACCATAACAAAGTTATTTCAACAAAAATAAAAATCACATGTAATCTTATCAGATAACATTAAATATTTCTTTGTAAATCTTTTTAATCTTTTAAAAAATATATTTTTCTTGAATGTCAGCATCCAACTTGAAGTGGCAAAATGATAGTACTAATTATAACAAAATTTCATTGATTAAAAAGAATGAGTCAAAAGACACCCAAAACAATTACTATGTAGAAAAGATTCAAAGTTCTTTGGGAAGGTTGGAAGGGGACTAGGTTTGTTGAGGGGGTAGTGGAGGCCAAAAATAGTTTAACTATATCTTTAATGTTCTAATTTTTTAGAGAGAACAGTAAATTCAGTGTATTACTTATGTATTTAAACATTAATTTAAAAAATCCAAACATAAGAAAAGAAGTGTCACATGTATAAAATAATTTTGAAAGGGGTAGTTATGATAAGTGAAAAAGAATTAATATGCCTCGTCTTGGCAGGGAGAATAATTTCAGGAGCCTTGCCCCGCCAATATGACCTTACCCTCACTTGTTCTACAATCATTTTCTTACTCATTTGTTCCCAAATCATTAATATTGCATCACATGTATTAAGAAATGTTAGAATCATTACAATCCTCATAAATTCAGCCAACTTTTTATTTTCTTCCAGAAATATGTTCCTGATTATCAACTTTCGGTGACTCTTAAACCTGCTTAGAGTCAAACAATTTAATTTAACATATAGTGAAGATTATATACATTTGGATTTTTAGAAAGAGGAAGGGAGAGAGAAACATTAATGTGAAAGCAGAATATTGATCAGCTGCCTCTTGTACAACCCCTACTGGGGAATGAGCCCATATCCAGGCATGTGCCCTAACTGGCAATTAACCCTGCAACCTTTTGTTGCACAGGATAACACCCAACCAACTGAACCACACCAGCCAGGACAAAGTACTGCAACCGAAGTACGGGCCCTTGACTGGAATCAAATCCTAGACTCTTTGGTCTGCAGGCTGACACTCCAGCCCAGTGGTTCTCAACCTTCCTAATGCCGTGACCCTTTAATACAGTTCCTCATGTTGTGGTGACCTACAACTAAAAAATTATTTTCGTTGCTACTTCGTAAGTGTAATTTTGCTATTGTTATGAATTGCCATCGGAAATATGTGTTTTCTGATGGTCTTAGGTGACCCCTGTGAAAGAGTCGTTCGACCTCCAAAGGGGTCACGACCCACAGGTTAAGAACCGCTACTCTAACTTCTGAGCCAAACTGGCCAGGGCAAAGACCTGTATATGTTAAAACAGTTCAGGACCATTTGGAGTTATAGCAACAGATACTCCATTAGGAGATTAAAAACTTAAGCTGCAAAATTGTGCTTACATCTTTAAAGCACATACAATTCTCCTGAGATTTGGTGGCTAAGTAGGTTTTTCCTCATTGTGAATGCCTATTTAGAAGTCTTTTCTCCTCAGGGAAAGAAAAGTATGGAAATCACATGAGAAATATTTTAAAATACTTTTAGCAAAATAATCCACATCATATCAAAATCCTTTTAGAACGTAGTTAATCACTAAATAACAAAACTAAAAAATAGATTTCACTTTAATTGAGGCTATAAAATAAAAGCGAGCACAATTTAAGGGTATATCACAGGAAAAGCATCTTCAAGTAAATTCCAGATTAGCAAATAATTTTCCAGTGACTCTCTGTTTGGTATGCCAATGTAAAGCAGATTGCTATGCACATTTGAAAGATGGGTAGAAGATACATTAAAAAATATTAAATTTGAGATAATTTCCGCTCAGAGATCAACTAAAATATATAGGAAGGGTGTACGTTTTTTAGATACAGGGTAGATCTCTCTTCCTTTTATTTAAAAATATTTTTTTCATGCATTCTAATGGTCATATGAAAAAGATATTTACTTTTTTTTCATTACTAACACTGAGGATGGAAGAACAAATGTGGAGTAGGCCTCACAGCTCACTAGAAATCAAACTCCATACTTTTCAAAATTATAAGTGGCAAGTAGTGGAAGAACTCCAGGATACTACACTTACTCAGGGTTCCACACATATCCGTTTAAACCACTTAAAATAGATATAACATTTGGGTAACTGGCACAGTGGCATTTCTCTGGCATAGCTGAGAACCATTTTTAAATTTTATGACTTTTAATCCTCACACTGGTTTAAGCAAGCAAAACAAAATTTTTATCTATCATGTAGGAACTTTCAGTTCAACATATTAGCTTTCAGTTCAATATACACCAATATTATTGTGGGGCATTGTAGAGGCATTGTAGCTTCATTGCTCAAGAGGCTCCATTCAGCAGCAGAGAAAAATGGGTAAGTTCTACATACTCTTGTCTTTCACTGGAATATGTTAGCTGTTACAAATGAGTAGAGGAGAGAAAAAAATGTAGAATTCCATCACAATGAAATATGAGAGGTGCTGGCACTTCCTCTTTGCCACAGTTATTCTTCTTAGGATGAAATTTGGAACTGCACATTTAGCTGAATTTACCGCAGTTTCAATCTTTGTAAATGAGATGAAGTTCATTCCCTGGGCCAGAAACCCCAAGCAGCTGTTGGGAGCAAGAGCGCAATGAGGACTGAAGAAAACAGGTTCACCGCATTGTTGTCAAGAATGGGTTTCCCTGCTATGTGCTTCACCTCATTTGTTGGGCTGTTGACCACCATGCCAGTGCTTTCATCCAAACCTAGAGTGGAAAAGAAGTAAGGTCCAAAATCCAAATGACTTGATTAAAAAAAAAAAAGTAGCTTTTTCCTCTAAAGGACATCTTCTTTGAAAGAGTCTTAGGCACTTATAAAATGACTTTAATGGATAACTATACAGTGAGAGATATGGAAACCTTAATTACAAAAGGCCTTTTGAATAAATGGGTTTCAGTACCCCTCAATACTGTTCTCTCAACACTGCTGGAGTTCATTCTGAAGCAGAAGACAGAATATGAAAAACAGAGATGACATGAAACTGGCAGACTACGCCTGCCTTCCCCTCCAAGACTAACCTGAGGCCCGAGACTAGAGCAGCCTCTGCAATGGATACCCAGGACCTAGCATGGTGCCAGCACAAAGGCATACCAAAATTTACTGAATGAATTAACCTGTCAACAGGCCACAACTGTTTTTCAACCCACTCAATATGATCAGAAACTTTCCCAATTACAGCCCAGTTTAGAATAAAACTTAAGCTCTTTAAAAAACATATGTTTGTGTGTGTGTGCATAATTACTGAGCCCTTAGTGTGAATGAAAATCAGACTGATTCTTCTTTAGCATCGAGATGAGACTAACAAAACTGAGAGAACAAACATTTCGAATGGTGGAACGGTGAGTGGAAGGGCAAGTAGATTATCTTGGGGCATAAGGAGAACAGGGAGATTGTACTCAGGGAAATTTTCTCTAGACTCCCAGCTCTTCATTATATGAATCAAAGAAGAAAATATAGTTGATTAGCATGTGGGGCAAATATACACCTAACAAGATATGTGGGTACACTGACATTACAGGAGAGCCTCAGAGCGAAGCACAGAAAACTTGGGAAGTCAATTTTCCCATATATCTTAAGTGGGGCTAAAACCTCAGTAGGAAGGAAAGCAAGCACGATGTCTCAGTAGAAAAGGAGGTCATATGTGTGTAGTCAGATTAGTACAATAATTCTCTCAAATGGATTTGGAAAACAAGTGGAAGAATGGGGCATTAAAATGATTTATCCCAAAGGTTCTGCTTTGATGGGATTAGGTGAAGGCCCATTAGCAAAACCATCTGTTTCCTTCACTGTCATATCCTCCCCCACACAACTTCTACTCATTGCTCTGCAGGACTAATTCTCTTTCAACTAGCATAACAACAAAACAAATAATAATAAGAAGAAAATCAAAGTTGTAGAAGAGACTTTGCCTTATCATTCCTGGTCTCTCAACTCCTGGTGTCCTTGGGATTATTTTCATTGTCGTATCTTTTTATATTTTCCCTATTTCTTTCCCATTTCTTTAATACACCAATGGTTGCAATAATAAGGTAATGTCCTTACCTGTAAATTGCATTGTAGCTCCTAAATATGAGTCCACAATTGATCCCAATAATCCAGCTAGACCCCCAAATGCAATAATTGGCCATTGGGGAGCAGAAATGTCCAAATCATTAACAAAAATCAACTGTGTGAGGAAGTAGGCAATGCCCACAAAGGTGCCACCAAGAAGACTGGAAGCAAGGCCCACCACTGTAACCCCTCCATTGGTCCCTGAAATAGAAATATGGATAAAATATTCTGGTAAACAATCAGCAAACAGATAAAGGCAAGAGAAGCAAAAAAATTCGGTACCTATCTAATCAAGACTAATTTAAAGAAAGAGTTCTCTTTGATTTAATCCAAAGATCATAAAACCATAGCCCACTTATAAAATAGTCTTTTCTCCTCAGTAACTGCTGACATTCTAAGCAATGAAGTATAATGGTTCAGTGGAGCCAGACTACCTGGTTTCCATCTTAGTTCTGCCACTTCTAAGCTATGTGACTGTAGTGAAGTCACCTAACTTCTCTATGCCTTAGTTTCCTTGTTTGTAAGATAAAAATAATAAAAGAACCAATTCATATGATTATTAAGAGTACTTAATGGTAATCCATGTAGAACAGTGCCTTGCACACATTAGGTACTCAAGTATGTTAACTGTTCATGATGATGATAATGAGGAAGAAAAAAAGGACAGAAGAAACAGGAAAAAGATAGAATAGGAAGAAGACAAGAGAAGGGGAGGAGGAGGCAATAACAAAGATACAAAGAAGATGCAGTAGTTGATAACAGTAATAAGGAACGAAGGTACATGTTAACGCACTAACCACATAATATACCCTCGAGAAATACTCTATTGTTGCCTCCCTTTCCTTTCCCACTGATACATCTGTGAATCAATCTCTGTTTCTGCATTATTTATGTAGGGCTTGCTAACATTTCCTGCAAATATTATTTATTATCAGCAATTTAATAGCCTTCAGCAATTTTCCAATTAAGGAGACGAACAATTCCTCAAAGGTCCTTAACTAAGAAACACAATAAATCAAGTTTTTCTTTTGTTCACTTTTTTTAAAGAAATGTAAATAAAGACTCACCAGACTGGCTGGTGTGGCTCAGTGGTTGAGCTTCAACCCATGCACCAAGAGGTGGCCGATTCAATTCCCAGTCAGGGCACATGCCCAGGTTGTGGGCCAAATCCCCAGTAGGGGGCATGCAGGAGGCAGCCAATTGATGTTCTCTCTCATCAATGTTTCTTTCTCACTCTCTCCTCCCCCCTTCCTCTCTCTCTAAAATCAATAAAGAAAAAAAAGACTCACCAGTTGGAACTTTCTCCCATGTTGTTATTAGCCTTGGTGGGCTTTTACTCAGAACTGGACCAATTTCTGAAGCCCATGTGTCACCAGCACAGCTGGCCAGTGCAGCCAAGAGAGACAAACACATCCAGGAAGCAGTGTGCTGCTTGGAAAAATCTATTGGGATTTCCCCGGGGCCATTTTCTATCATGTACAGTAGGGCCAGCTCTGTGGGTATGGCTCCATTACAGAACACCTGAAGCCAATTCCTCTGCCCACCTAGAAGCAAACAAGTAGAAAAAAAGGAAATGTTTTCTTCTCAGAAGGAAAATTATGTTGATATAGGAACTTAACATTTGAGAAAAGAAAAATGCTAAAATTTAAAAAATGACTAAAAGTGGAATGGTACCCTTGCCCACATTCTATATTGTTTTAGAATAATTAATAAAAGACTTTACTGCTTCTAAAATTTTGCTGTCACATGCTATTGTAGTGAAGTAACGGTAAAGTAAATCAGGCTACTACTTAAAGTAATTATCATATAAAATTTATCTATTTCAACAGTCTAAACATGTTTTGATTAAAAGCTTATGTTAGGATGAAACAAAGTTAGTCATTTAAATAATGTCAAACATAATTCATTTTACCTTCTTTATATTCTGAATCTAGATGCTTCTTTATTTCTCCCTTCCATTTAGTGAGTTTTGAAGAAGAAAGGAAAAACATCAGCAAAGAGGTAAAAAAGCTGAAATTTGCAATGCTTAGGATAAATCCAACTATTAGCGCTGAAAGAAACACATATACACACAGAATTATACTTAGTCCACACATTAAAATTGTGAAAAAAAGAATAAATGTTTTTTCGGTTATTTTCACATTATAACCTGAAATGTACATTTCCATTTTTACCAATTAAGATATTACCAAATAGTAAACTGAATATCAGTTTGGTTAAATTGAGATGCATTTTCTTACCATATTTTGACCTCCTTTCAAACAAACTGTGCTATATAAATGTAAGATATTACACCAATACCTCTATTTCCAATCCATATCCACAGGCTCTCTCTTGCTTTTCCCCATTCCAGATTTGTATGCCTCTTTCTCCTTTGTAAGAACCCTGGCTTCAATGACAATTTCACACATTTGCTCAATCCTTTATTACATCTAAAACTATTTCAGAATTGCTTCATCCCCACTACAACAAAAACAAAATAATTTAGGATTGGTTTGCAATTCTCTCCTTCCCCTAACAAAGACTGAACAATATAGTTAACTACTGTGTTTGTAAGTTACTCTTTTTTTCTCCCTCTCCAGGGTGCTTATAGTATTAATTTAAAGTATAATTGGGTTCATCTGTTTTAGTTTGCTTTCAGTTTTAGAACTCCCAACCCCCATCTTTACTGATTTAATTTCATAAATATGTAGAACACTGGCACGCTTTCCAAAGACAAACTTAGACAAAAAAGTATACTCAAGAGAAATGCCACTTCCTCCCAAATCCCTTCTCTTCCTCCCTCTATATCAGAGGTGAGGAACATCCAGCCCTTGAAATCATTTGGTCTGGTCCTGCCAAGGCAATCACAGGCGGGACTCAAAATTCAATAAATCTGGAGCTTTTGTCATAGCAACATAAATTTCTATTAAGTGAATTATAATAATGTAATTTTGAGGGATAAGCAAGGGATGTCCATTACAGGATAGACAGGATACATAAGACAGGACAGACACACGTTTCTCATCGGCTGCCGGAGGCCCGTCTGCCTGGATTTCGGTGACTCAGAGGACAGTCAGTACCAGGCAGGCTGGGAGAGTACATGTTGTAAAAGTGTTAACACACTGTGGCGAAACTACAACAATCCGGTGATGATGACATGAGATGAAATGATTCCTTGTGACGTTGATGACCTTTACCTCCAATGACTGACAACGGTGTTGTCGACTTCTTTGTCGACACAGACAGTAACTCCAATTCAACCTTTATCCACACGTCCACAATCAACAATCCTCACAAAAACAATCTCAGATGAAGATTAAGGAAATTACAGTACACAGAAAAGACCTCAAGAGTTGATATGAATGTTGCATATGTTCCAAATCCAAGATGTGGGATTAGAACAGCGATCAAAGCAAAATAATCGCGTTGCTGGCAACACACACTGGAGTTATTAAAACTTAAGTGGTGTGACATTCTACAAATGGTGACTACAAAGAAAAGTTGATGCAGAGTGTAGATTTTTCCAAGAGAAATGAACAAATGATTATTTTCTTGTTGCGGTCAAAGGCAAACCTGTGTGTCTAGTTTGTGATGATGCATTAGCAGTAATGAAAAAAGCCAATATGGAGCATCAAAACACGCTAAACTCAATAAACCGGGAGGCCAAATGCGTTTGGATAAAATCAATGCTCTTCAGTGGAGTTTGGAATCACAACAAGCCACTTTCACTAAGCCTTGTTGTGACAGAGACATTATTCAGATGAATTAAGTAGTGAGCGAGCTAATAATCACATAGAAACTGAGGCCTCCTGTAAAGGGAGAGTTTGGGAAAGAGTGCATGGTGGCTGCTGCAGAGTTGTTAGCACCAGACAAAGTCAAATTGTTTCAGTGTTAGTTTGATTCAGAGAACCATCTCAGGTCGGATTACTGATTTAGCACAAGATATTGAAAAAACACTGAAGCACTGGCCAGTTTGGCTCAGTGGTTAGAGCGTCGCCCTGCGGTCTGGAGACCCGGTTTCGGTTCCCACTAGGGGCATGTACCTCAGTTGCAGTTTGTCCCTGGCCCTGTTTGGGTTGTGTGGGTGGCGACCACTCGATGTGTCCCTTTCACGTTGATATTTCTCTTTCTCTCTCTCTCTCCCACTCTATCTGATCAAAATATCGAAAAATGTCCTCGGGTAAGGATAAAAAAAAATAAAAAATGAAAACACACTGAAGAATTCTGCAGGAGATTTCCAGTTTTTCTCTCTGGCTTGTGGCAAGACAATGGGCATAACAAATACTGCCCAACTGGCCATTTTCCTTCATGGGATAATTGCAGTTTGACACTCAAGAGGAACTGCTGTCACTGGAAGCCAAGCATGGTACTTCAAGAGGTGAGGACTTGTCTGGGAGACTTGTTTTATCAATGGAAAAACTTGAGGTACCATTTGAAAAGTTAAGTGGCCTTACTACAGATGGAGCCACGGTTGGCTTGCAAAAAGGGTCAATTGTTTTTGTCAAGAAAGAACTGAATCGTCTCAGTCTTGAGCCAAGGGATTTAATTATATGCCACTGCATCATACACCAAGACAGTCTCTGTGCACAGTCGTTGCAGCTCAACGATATGATGTCAACATCAGTGTCATGCATAAATTTTGTTAAAAGCAGAGGGTTTAACAGCCAACAGTTTAAGGAGTTACTGAATGATCTTGACTCTGAGTACCGTGATCTCGTTTATCATTGTGAAGTGCGGTAGCTAAGTCATGGGAAGATGCCCATGAGGTTTTACCAACTGCAGGATGAAGTCAAGCAGTTCATGGAGATGAAGGGAAAACCTGTCAAGGAACTCAGTGATAGTAAGTATGATTTAGTGTTCACAATAGACATTACCAACTACCTCTCAGAGCCGAATGTCAAGCTGCAGGGCCCCAATCAGCTTCTCAGCTCCCTGCTTTCAAATGTGAAATCATCTGAAGCTAAATTAAGGCCATGGAAAGTACTACTGAAAAGGAATAACCCAGTGCCCTGGCCGGTTTGACTTAGTGGCTGGAGCATTGGCCTGCGGTCCCGAGAGACCCGGGTTCGGTTCCCGCTAAGGTCATGTACCTCGGTTGCAGTTTGTCCCTGGCCCTGGTTGGGTTGTGCGGGTGGCAGCCACTCGATGTGTCCCTTTCATGTCGATATTTTTTTTCTCTCGCTCTCTCTCTTCCTCTCTCTCCCTCCCACTCTATCTGAACAAAAAACGAAAGAATGTCCTTGGGTGAGGATTAAAAAAAGGAGTAACCCAGTGTGCTTCCCCACTTTGGAAGGACAAAAGCCTATGACACTTGAATATGCTGGTGAACGTGCAAAACTAATTGAGGCATTTAATGAAAGACTCAAAGACGTGAAAAGTAAACAAATGGAAATGAACGTCTTTGCTACACCATTCAATGTGGAACCACCTGATGTGCCTGATAACCTACAACATGAAATCCTTCAGTTGCAAAGTGATGATGAGCTGAAAGCTGGGTTCAACAACCTCCCACTGCTGGAGTTCTGTAAACACTACATAAGCAGTGATGAATTTCACACTTTGAGAAGACATGCACTGAAATATGCATCTGTGTTCAGAACAACTTACTGCTGTGAGAAGTTCTTTTCAAAACTCACCATCGCAAAGAGTCGACTGAGCTCCAGACTGACTGACACAAAACTGGACAAGTAGCTTTCTGTAGCAATATCAATACCAGCTAATATCACACGCTTCACCAAAGAGAAGCAGTTCCAGTCATCACATTAGGGGTGAGTTAATTAAATGTTTGACCAAATATAGCAGGCTAATTTTTAAGTTGATAATTTTGTATGGCCCACAAATTATGTTATAAACATCCATACGGCCCCTGGCAGAAAAAAGGTTCCCCAACCCTGTTTTATATTTTGCTCTCCCTCCATTCTCTGTAGGTAACCAACTCCACTTTTCTCCAGTTTATTCTTATATTTCTTTTTAAGAAGATAAGCAGCCCTGGCCGGTTTGGCTCAGCGGTTAGAGCGTCGGCCTGCGGTCCGGAGAGACTCGGGTTTGGTTCCTGCTAAGGGCGCGTACTTCGGTTGCAGTTTGTCCCCGGCCCTGGTTGGTTGTGCGGGTGGCAGCCACTCGATGTGTCCCTTCACGTCGATGTTTCTCTCTCTCTCTCTCCCTTCCTCTCTCTCATCCCACTCTATCTGTACAAAAAATGGAAAAATGTCCTCGGGTGAGGATAAAAAAAAAAAAAAAGATAAGCAGATATATGCATGTTTTGTTATTTTCTCTTATTCCTTACACAAAAGGTAGCATTCTCTACATGTTCTTTCTTTAGAGAGAGTGATACATTGATGGGAGAGGGGAACATTGATCAGCTGCCTCCTGCATTCCCCTTACTGGGGATGGAGCCTGAAACCTGGGCATGTGCCATGACAGGGAATTGAACCAGCAACCTTTCGGTGCACAGGCTGTCATTCCACCAAGTGAGTCACACCAGCCAGGACTCTCTATATGTTCTTTTGAACTTTCAAGCACACTTTTATACTAATTTCATAGACCTTCTTTTAGGGAGAGAATGTGCTACTCTATCATTGGGCATTTAGATCTGTGGCACCCAAGAAATTTACATTCTGAGTTATAAATTGGTCTCTCGTGAGTTTGGCTGCTTCGAGTCTAAACTTCCAGTTTAGACCCAGTTTGTGGGTCTGACAAAAATCCAAGTTGTAGCCCTGCAGGGACTGGTACCAGTTTCCAAAAGATAACCACACTAAGGCACTATTACATTGTGTAGTACTGTCCAGGCTGCCTGCTTGTATTTTTTTCCTTTTTATTAAACTTATTGGGGTGGCAGAACTTATTTGTATTTTAACTACAAACTCTTCCATCTCTGACTAATTCTATGGTTGACAGTTCTGTTCTCTGTAACTCTTAAGATAAATATATTCGCTCTGGCTGGTTTTGGCTCAGCGGTAGAGTATCAGCCCGCGGACCAAGGAGTCGTGGGTTAGATTCTGGCCAAGGGCATATACCTTGGTTGTGGTTCGTCCCCAGCCATGGTCGGGGTTGTGCGGCAACCAGTCG